GGGACCTTAGTCAATAGCAGACTGAGTGCATGCTCAATTTCCTGTCGAAGTCGATGAGATGGTAGGGGAGAAAGCCGGAATTCGAAGACCATCAGGATTTAAAAGGTAGTCCGGTGTGTTTACCTTATGTCACGGTCAGAAGGATTAAAGGGACTATTTACACTATTGAGGTTATTGAAATGGCTTTAGGTTGGTTTTTCTCTATCGCGTTTATTCAAAACAGGTAGATATCTTTTTCTTAAGGCTCACCTACTGCATACTGTTTTCACACTGTTGGTAAATACATGTACTCACTGAAAAACCACCAGTGTGAGCAAGAAAACTGGTCTCATGAGTTTGCTCGTTATCGTACTTTCGGATGTTGAGAGGCAGAAAGGCGCTGACTCTTTGACTTTGTTAATTATGATGATGAGATAATAACAATTCAAATGTTATAACATATAACCTTTTTCGAACATATTTGTATGTTTTGCTTTTCTCGATGTTATAATTTTTCTTTGTACCAACTATAAGAGAAGAATGTCCACTCTTTCTTAATACCTAAATGTGTGTACCAAAACCACATTTATCGTCCAATGGTTTAAAACGAAACACAATGGCTTTATTGCATAAAACAAGTTGATAAAAAATGCCAACTTTATTTGATGGCATTTGTTTTTTCGTGTTGTTATAACGTGTAGTTCATTCCTTTGTAGTGCCTGTTTCGTAATCGTTTAGTCATTTTGTCTGAGATTCAGCGTACCACTTGATTGGCCCATCAAAGCTCTTAGTGAGATACTGTTGTTTCAGCACATATCGTAACATTTTTGCAGATGCTATTGTTCACATTCTGCAATTTATCTATATATCTGTCTATACAAAATAAACGTCGTGTATTAATAAAAAGGGTTACTTTTACGTCTTTATTTTGTTAGGATATTTTAAAGCCTGACTTCTACGGATATAGCGAATACTTTATTAGACAAGTCAAAGAGTGAAGGACGGATACAATAGTTGATTTGACTTGCTATCATCACCAATCCATTAAGGAATTCACATTTTGATCGATATATGTCACTTTCCACAGAAATCCAGTTATTCTTGTAGCCATGGAAACGCTCATTCCAATGGGGGCTACCTGTCGCTGTTCGCGCCATTTTTGAAAGGCATCGTAAATTACTCCAATCTCGCAATTCCTTCTCCATTGTTCACCTTCCGATTCGATTTAATGCAGATGCCTGACAGGAAAAGTCATCTTTTGGCTGGCTTAGAAAGCGTGAAATGCTTTTGTGGTAATGAATCGCTTTACCATTACGTCGATAAATCGACCCAAACTTCATTCAGTAGCCTTCCTTCTGTCCGTATCTCTTGGGAATTCGTGACACCTTTCTTAAAATAGATACATCTACCTTCCTAATGTGGTCCTTGATAAGCATTTATTTTGATATTGTAAAAATAGCATCCGTTTCAACTTCAATAGGATAATGATTTTTCGATTTCTCGCAATAAGAGAGGAAAGAAAACGAATTCTTAGCTGGTACCTTATTTCATCTTTTAGCTTTCAAACAGTCGCTTTCGTTTCATTCTAGTTAGATTCGCTATACTCTTCCTTACTTTGATATTTACCAGTGTCAAATATAAAATATAAATGTGCACCAACAGCACATCTTCTCATAACCACTTTGCACTGATTCTATAGGCTACTATTGTGAGGCAAGCCTGAAATAACTATTGCGTGTGAGGTAACATTCTTTGGATGAATTCGTGTCAAAGAAATACAGCAATATTTTGTTACATTAAGGAATCTGATTTTATATTCTTTCGTTAGCACTGTGGCTGTAAATTTGTATTTCATTTTATAATAGCAGGCATTTCGTCCACTTCCATCTGTTACTTAAATTATATCTAGTCGACCTAGCTATCAAACAATCTTGTTTATCTACCAGGTATCAAAAACACTATATCATTTTATTGTAATGGAATTGATTGTAATATAATACTTAGTTTACAACCCATTTCAAACAGAGGCAAACGGAATGAACTGAAATGAAACGAAAATTAATAGCAAACACTGGTGCTAAATCTATAAGGAGGAAAAGCACCGTTTCCGTACGAGAATAAAATATAAATGAGATGGACAATGCGTAAATCTTGGAAGAAGCACGTACTCTTCTCTTAGATAGTCAATTCTGTTTCAATTTACATTTCCGTCCATACATATCACTTCTTCTTATGATTAATGATTTCGTTTTTGTTTAATTTGGTGTTGAATTCATGTATACTAGTAGTTTTTCTCTGATTAATAATTTCTTTTTTGTTTAATTTGGCGTTAGTATGCATCAAACATTCATCCCCATTCGTATCTTGATTTTGGGGCAAGGATACAGATTGATGTAGGGCATTTTCCGTGAACGGCATGATGATGTAAGGTAAATTTTCGGGGATGATGTAGGCCTCACTCTTTTGACGAATACTGCAAGTCATAATTGTCTCCTCATGTATTATTATTGAAGTTGATAATAATTTTTGTTTTCAACGGAAACGAAATGATAGAAATGACTATTACACATCTGTGACCTACAATCTGTCTGCGGTAAGTGTGAACAAATGGTTTTCTTTTTATACAATGGTTATTTTTCGTATTCGTTATATTCTTTTCTTATACTTAAGTTTCTTAAATATATTTTCTCTTTCTCCGTATATCATTCTATATAGTTTCTACACTGATGATTCTATATCACTCTCTCTTACTCTCCACTTGATATCGCCCCTTTTGTTTGACGAGACAAGGAATATTTTGGCAGTAAAACATCTTCAAATTGTATATTTCTCTCTCTCACCCTTAGTGTCTCGGAATTCAACATTCAAAACGCAGCAACCGAAACTGGTGATATTCTTTGCATAATTCTTCCCCTCTTTATGACTGACTCATTCAAAAACTCGGTTAGGCATCCAATTCACTACCAATTATACTTTCAAAAATAATTGCCAATTGATTTATTCATTTATGTCGCATCTGACAGAGTAACATCCAGTATTGATGACTTAATAGGACAGTGCACTCCCCGGCGAACATCCATCAAAATAACAACCCCGTGCCCTGCGCCAAGACAATTTACTCGGAAATCCTTCGGCAAAGTCTCAAAATCAATTCATATGCAAATGGTTAAATTTTAATTTCATTCTCGAATGGTCCTTTTATCGCTGATATATTAATCTTGTTATGGGGCGTCAAACGGAATTAGTTCTCCATAACACAGGCTTACTAGGAAATGATGAGATGAGGTAGGCTGGAACGAGATTGCTTTAAATTCAATGGCAATAATATTCTGGCATATCCATTCGAAATAGCCTTTAATGACGTCATAGGTTGAGCAATAACGCTAAAAATATCTGGAACGGAATTGGAACTTCATATTTCAACATGATAATTCGTAATACATGTTGAATTTACAAATTAAATCAAAAAATCCTGATTGATCAGTATATACCTTGATAAACATATGAAGGATTATCATTTATTTATAGCTTTTATCAAGCTCGTTTTCAATTATTCAATTGGAAAAGTATATGAGTCAACATATTGTAAGTGATGAAATCATAAATTAATATAAATCTTTATTTATCTTTATTTATACTTGATAGAATATCAGTTATTTAATAGTTTTTCGGCATGAAACTCTTTTTCTTTTCTTCGATGTGCACATTATATTTCAACATAGTATTTTGCAAATTGAATTCATAAATTAATAACAATCGTTTCTATCTGTTTTTTACATGCATCTTCATGAAGAATTATCGATTGTTTAATAGCTTTTATGCATTAACATGATTTTATTTGTTTAGTTTTTTCCTATTTCAAACGACCACGGTGTCCCCTAATATCTAAAATATGGCCGCTTGTGCCAATCCTGGCAAATGAATTTGTCATGTCCGAAATATGGCCGCATTTTCATAATAGCCACACTGTCAATTATCATCTCTAATTTGTAGTGCTTAAGCGTGATTTCCTTAAATCAATGTTAATTATCTCACGGTTGTGCATGTCCAAATTCAGCTTTATTTGCAGAGCTCTTAATAGGCAATATTCAAAGCAAATAGGGCAAATTCTGACTCCATTGACACATGCGGCAGTCAGAGTTTGGATTACGATGACGTAATTAGGCGAAAATATGACGAATAATTCGCCGTAGGCTTATTGGCTTAATTACGGAGGGTGACATCACGTGTTACTTTAACCGAGATTCATACAGGCGACCGCCCCTTTTCATAATATCATGCCAACCAACCACTACAGGGTTTGCGGTAATTAAAGCTTGCTATATTGGTTAATCTCGTATATGTATATCCATTCTTGTTGTACTCGTTTTTAAATTATGAACATATAGATTAGCAGCTTTAAAGAAATTTGTAGATACCCCCCCCCCCCCCCACATACGATATATATATATATATATATATAGAAATATCATTATATTCGGGACTATCCTCACCTTTCATGCGATATCAAACACATACACAGAGACAAAAACACATACACAGAGACAAAAACAAAACATGACGAGCAACGAAATTTAATATTACACAATTTTCTAAAGAAATAAATATTTTCAAGCTGTCACATCTTTCAAACAATGAATATACAAGAATTCTAAAATCTATCGTAGTAATTTTTTTTGCAAGAACGCCCCCTTAAATTGCTTCAAGAAATATCTTGCTTTGTTAAGGTTATACTCGATTTGGCCTGACGATGTTATAAAACAGATTTTAAGCACACACACACACACACTTGTCTGTAGTATTCATCAGAATGAAAAAAAAGAGAAATCCTGCCCCCCTCTTTCTCAAATACATCTGTTAATTCCGAAGAGATCTAGCGTTTCAGGCAGCTCTAGTTTACTTCTATTCATTGCTTGAAATTTATGAAAGAAGAAGGGCTACTGATCAACAAAGAGAAGTGTTCCAGATCAACAAACCAAGACCGCAAACTTGACGAGATGAAAAAAATGTGGTATACTTACAAGTTTATTTGGGTCGGCGGAAGCTTGGTCTTTGATTATTTCTGGTCGTCCTCTTCGGGATGTGGATTTCGTTTCTAGGGGAAAAAGAGATGAAAATAAATCAGACAAATATGACAAAGGTTTTGTTTGATTGCTTTATTCTGTTTCGCTGAATACATTTGATGATATAGAGGAGTCAAAAATGTTCAAATAACGTTAACATATTATGTTTTTTAGTTGTAATGGTTTTTTTCTCCATATTTACATTTATTTTTGGTAGGACTGATGCTAAAGGTGTAAAATCGATGCGCATGGAACCAAGGATATTAAAAAGCTAACATGGCGTGGGCACAGGAAGCTGGATGACATCCGAAGATGAAGCTAAACCAACAAGGATTTGCGCATGGCGTAGACAAGATAAAACCGATATGAACGAAAACAAACAACGTTGATCAAGAGGAAGAACGATTTTGTTTTCTTCTGCGAAACAAGTGACGGTTAGGGGCAGATAGGCGGGTATATACGTGTCATAATTGCCTTCTTGAGCGGATCTCAGGTCCCTAAACGTCCCGAGGCGTAGCACGAACTAGTTTCATGGGTGATAGTACGGTTCCCTGCGGCACACCAGCGGACGCCACATGCACGACAGGCTTTCGTGCTGGCGGTGAGGGGGTAACAGAATACAGACTGTGCGCTCTCTAACAATTATAAGGCGGTGATACTTTTGGTTCGGCAAGCACCGTGTGTAAAGTCCTCTCCTCTGTCTAACAGCAGGTCTGTACAAGGATTATGTCTTTGCATACATTATTGTTTCAAGATTGTTCAAAATCAATTCTAACTTTGATTGTTCTGTGCACAATGGATGTCTCATATGTTTACAATTTTGAATATTATTTACGATGTCAATAGAAATAAAGAAACTTCAAATGAAATCAAATCAAATGGCTTATCGTATCGAATCGTAAAAACCTTATGACGAATCTTCATGCTCTAGCATGTAAAAAAGCACGGTTCCATTATAAAGAAATAAAACAAAACAAGCACAAAAGCCCGTCAATGAAGGCAGACGACAGAATATTGCTTATAAATTGAAGGAACGGAATTTCAATCAGAAAGAGTCTGAAAAAGGAAAGAAAATTTGAACAAGGGATGTTGGAGAGGGCAGCTATTACAAGAGTACACTCAACTTTTTCATCAAAAATATGGGGATAATTCAGTTTACAGGTAGGGCGTGCAAACATGTGCAAACTCGAAAATCACGTTACGAAAAATGGCTTCACATACACTAAAAAGTCGCCAATATGTAATGAGTATAGCATAATTATATGGGACAAGGAAACGTGGAAGGATGTATCACGCCTCGCGGAAGCCAGAAGGTCACTAGCTCGTATCATTTGCCATAGAATTAATGCCCTTCTAACCCTGAAAAGACGATATTTAAGAACGTCCATAACCGCCCGATGGCGCCGTATATTCTGTCGCATCACGATTAGATCAGAATAATCGTTCGGCAGATCCATCGTTTCGTCAGATGATGGGGGCATATTGTCGACGGAATTAAAGGATGACAAGGGATGAGTTTTTTAAAAAAAGAAGGAATTGTGAGAAAAAGTCCTTCAATGTAAATGACAGTTATAAAGGATGTCACAAGGTTGCAAAGTGGAAATCTTTCTGCTTTTTGACATCTTTAATTAAATGCTTGATGTTCTCTTTCAGGTTCTCCTCCATTTCCTCCTCCTCCTTCTCATAACACTTCCATTTCCTCATTCTCTTTCTCCTCCGCCTTTTACTACGTTTAGTACTCCTTCTATCGACTACCACTATTACTCCTGACTTTTTCTTCTTCACCTCCTATTTCTCCTCATTTTTCTTCTTCTTCTTCTGTTTTTCTCCCACTACTATTTAAGCCAAAGCCTAAACTAACAGGAATATTCTCCTGACAGCAAGTTATTCTTGTCACGCTGTGATAGCATCGTTGCCCTCATTTTTTCTCTTTCAAAACTTATTACATTTTAATCTCATTTTTCCTAAGCTGAAAGTGCATGCGTAAAGTGGCAATTTCGATAATTCTGGAAAAGGGGGAGGGAAAATGAAATATGTTTCATCACTGGAACACGAGTAACTGGGCTGTAATCAAATTCCTCAACTCGTTAGCCAAAAATTGAAACATTCTCCGCTCAAGGCGAATGATATGATGTACAGATGCATATACATTGCTCCGCATGATCAACGTATGTAGACGCCGACAGCAGAACATCACCGCCTGTCTGGTAAAATATAACATTTCTTAAGTTAAAGTTAGTAAGGGCAGGCTGGGTACTAAGACAAAGAAAGGATCGGGAATTCTACTATTCTTTATTGTTTTATCCTATGTATGGATAGACTGTCCTAACGATTATTTCAGCGAAATGTAAATATATGTATATTTTTTTTGCGTTTACATCAATTTCCATTATATGCCTACACACAAATATGTCTCAACATTATCTCATTTGTCAAATTGTACCCTTTGTAATTTCTGCAACGAGATCAAGGTAGATAAAGGGAATAAAAAAATGTAATGACCTTAATGAAAGAATAATAGCAGAATGAAAACAGGCAACACAATGCCCCAAATATTTTAGTGCTTTAAGTTTAAGTTTCTTTGAAATGCTTTCTCCACATAATACATTCAGATGCAGATGCAGACTCTTCTTTTCGCCGCGTCTAATAATGTTTGCACGCATCGTTGTATTTCTAAGTATTCTGAATGTTTGCGAGGAATTGGCTTGTCTGTTCTACAAGGGCTTGGCTGAAGTGCTACATTTGTTAGAGACATGACAGATATGACAAAGTGGTCTTGAACATGAAGCGGTTTTCTGTTTGTTTTGAGTTCAGTCAAGCAGCGAGAATGATGGCATTTTCAGCAGAAATCGCAAGGGGATCATAAGTCACACAATGTTCTGTAATGTTCATCAGGCATTCTGATAAAAAGCTCTGGCTCACAAACACATTTCCTGAAGACTTAAGATTTTTTTTTTTTTTTTTTTGGGGGGGGGGAGGGATTTAAAAAGCTTGGGGCATTATTGCATTCATTTTCTTCATGTGCCTTGCTTAAATTGATGTATAATTAAATCTGTTTGGGGGAGGGTAGAATTAAGATTTAAGATGCAAAGCCTTTTCTCTTAACTTACAAAACTATTAAAAGTTATATTCCTTTTCGGGAAACCTGAAACATTTTTGTTGTTGGTCTGTTTGTTTCTATTCACAGGCTTCTTTTTGAGACACTGCTAGAGCTAGTTTGGAGCTTTGCAGGACTTTCTTCTTAAATTGCCCACCGGTCCTGTGTACTTTTAACCTGCTGCTAAGTCAGACAAACTACAAACATCATTACCTTCTTGATAAAATTCAATGTTTCATATCTATTTATTCTTCGGATGGGAGCCATTTATACTCAGCTCTCGTCATCATTTCCGTTTTTCATGAGAAAACGATACCCATCATGGCCGGACAAAAATAATCCGCTATCAACATGATCATAACGATATTGATATCGACTGCTTTTATCGATTACTCTTATCGTCTGATGCTCCATTCCCGATTTCGTCACGATTTCAGCTTTGATGGTCGTATCCGATTTCATTTTGATCGTTACACTGTTACTTATCATACATTCATCGAGCAGCGAAGAGCGAGGTATGGAGAACGGTGCAAATACAATTTCCTACTTTTATTTGTAGCGTAGCTTGACTAACGAGAGGAAAGCTATGTAATGGAAAATGTTCTCAGTCGGATGATTGTGGTCATATGATTCATCTTACACATGAATTTTCCATGAAGTTATCGCTTTTATAGCAGACCGCGTTTGAGAACATCAACATCATCAGCAGCAACAACAAAAAGCGACAGGAACAGCTGTGAACAAGAGAGATCATTTTCCTTTTCTAGTTCAGAAGGGAGCCGAAATATTTCCTGATAATTTAGTGGCTTGTTAATGCCACACGAAAAAAAACCCTGAAGGACAGCGATATGTATAGAAAGTAACAAGAAGAACCAGATGATGAAATGAAAATAAATGTATGTAAATCAAGTTTACATGATATTTTACACGGGGAGGGGGAGGGGAGGGATGTTGTAAGGAAGTCACGTTCCAATGTGGCTATAACCTTAAAAAAGCACCGCATAATCATTGGCACGTCCTTGACATATCCTTGAAAACTTGTCTTGATTATACCGCAGTCACACCAGAACACCTTCACCGGACCGACAAGAGACCGAATAAGAATGAATCGGCTTGAAGTCGGATGGGGTCGGTTTAGCGGTGTGACTGAGGCAGTAACGCGGTATTAACGCACTCCGTGATAAATGTAGACGTATTTCTCACCTTGGCTAACGCTCATTATAACTCACGTGTAATGAGAATGTACCACATCTAACACCTGCGCGCCCTCAAGGTGAACGAATATGGTTTACCTCTCGTTATCACACTATCATCAGAAATAGTATATGAATAAAAGGTCGTGGTCTTGTCATCAACGTATTATTGAATACGCTAAAAAAAAACGTCAACGCGTCATTGAAATGTATAAAGAAGAAAAAGAGGTAGATAGATGGAGAGAGGGTGAGTAGGAGGAGAAAAGTCTTTTTAAGAGTGAGTATATGAAGGAGAAAGTGAAAGCTGAGTTAAGAAGGAAAGTATGAGGCGGGATATGATGATGAAGGAGGTTAAGAGAGAAATGTAGTAGAAGGGAAATAAATGTGAGGAGATTAAGGAGAAGTAATCCGTGGAGAAGATGGAGAAGGAAAAGGAAAAAGGAGGATCAGAAAGAGATAGAGAGAGAGAGTACGAGTGGAATTAAGAGAAAAATAGAAGGAGATGAAGGAGAAGAAGATAAAGAGGGAAAAAGGTGAAGAAAATGACAATACAGGGGAATAAAAAAAAGGAGAGGAAAGAAAGAGGGAAGAAAATGAGAAAAATATTTAGGAACGGAAAAATTATCAAGTAGAATAAATATCAAAAAGTCGAGAAGGAAGCAGAAATGTCAAGTGAAGAAAAGAGAACAAGAAGATGAAGTAAAATGTAAAGGAATGATTAGACGAAACACATTTTCC